CTGGTGGGGTAGGCCCTTCATTGACGGAGCCGTGGGTTCTGGATCCATGTTCTGATCCCCGTGCTGGTGGGGTAGGCCCTTCATTGATTGAGCCACTTTCTAGCCCAGCAGATGTTTTATTTCTTTTCTTTGGAGACAAGGTCTCTGTACAGCCTTGGCTGTCCTAAAGCTTGCTTTGTTAGACCAGGTTGGCTTTAAACTCACAGATCTCCCTGAGTGCTGGGATTAAAGGGCATGCACATGACCCCCTGCCCAGTAGAAGTTTCTTCCAGGTTGTCCACGCTGTAGACCTGAAGTCCTGCCGATGGGCTTTGGATACTCTGTGCTATTCACACTCTTTTGCTTGAAATCTTTGCGGAATTTTTAGGACTGCATTATATGAGAAATATCCCCTCTGCAGCCAGTGCACACAGAGCCGACTTGTGCCTCTCCTCTGGGAGGTGGGATAGGGCTGCTGCCTGGAGGGGATCTGGGCAGTGTGCCTCAAGGTGCTCGAAGTCACGAGACACGGACTAAGCAGCTGCTGTAGGTGTTGTAGGCCATGGGAGACTGGGGAGCCATGGCAGTTGGACAGTGGGGTGCGGGATAATGAAGCAGAAAAAAAATTTTTTTAGAAAAATCAGTGAAGTCCAAACAAAGAGTCTGGAGTTGAGACAGTCGATGGCAGTGTCTTAGTTTGACAACTGTGTCATGACAATGTAAGGCGTGACAATGGGGAGCACGGGAAGCGTCTAGGAATTCTCTGTAGGGGATTTGTGACTTTTCTGTAATTCCAAAGTTGTTTCCTTTTTTGGTTTTGGTTTGTTTAAATTTTATTTGTTTCTTGCATGTGTGTGCAGGGAGAAAGCACAGGTGTATGCGTGCATGTGTGGAGGTCAGAGAAACTTTTGGGAGCCAGTTCTCTCTACCACGGGGTCTTATATGGCAAGCATTTGTAGTTGCTGAGCTACCTCAGTGGCCCGTAGGTTGCTTTTTGTTTGTGGCACTCCACCTACCTCGGTCCTTACTCATCTGTTAATGTTTCCGTTTAAAGTCTGTTGTGGGGCTGGAAAAATGATGGTTGAATAGTTACAGGCACATCATGTTCTTCTAGAGGACTCTCATTCACTTCCCGGCACCCTTGTTGGCTGCACCACAACCTGCCTGTAACTCTAGGGGTTCTGATGTCTCTTGGTTTCCAGAGGCACCTGCACTCACATGCATGGACCCACATACACCCTCATATACACAAAATGTAAAACAAAAAATTAAAAATTTAAAAGATCCATTGTTTTATCTTATCCTCGCGATTTTTTATACATGCATAATTCTTACATTATTGCCACAGTCCGTCGAAAAGTTAATTGGGCTGAAGAGATGGCTCAGCAGTTAAGAGCACTGACTGCTCTTCCAGAGGACCCACCTGAGATCAGTTCCCACACTGGTGACTCACAGCTCCAGTCCCAAGGTCCCAACATCCTTTTCTGACCTTCATCGGCACCAGGCATGTACACAATTCACAGGCTTACATGCAGGCAAAGCATCCAACACATAAAATAAAAACATAATTTAAAAAGAATTGGCTCACCCAATTTTGTAGATCTTTTAAAAATCTTTTAAAAGATTGCTCACTGTTTTAAAGGTTGCGTTCATTACTGTGACCATCCAGCTCATTAAAGAAGCATTTACTGAACGACTCGGGAAATGGCCTGCTGGCTGAAATGCTTGCTGGGAGATGATGACGCCCTGGACTTGGATTTCCAGTGCTCACCTAGGAAGCAGGACATGGCAGGACATGCCTGTAATACCAGCCCTGCTCTAAGGGCTGACAGGCCAGCAGTCCAGCCAGTTGGTGAGCTTCAGGCTCAGTGAGACCCCTTGTCTCAAACAGTAGAAAAGTATCAATGAAGAAGACACACTTGGCCTCCTCAGGCACACTCATGTCTTGTGCACACATATATACACATACTCATTGTACACAAAAGCCTTTACTAAGAAGGTATCAAAGTCATGATGGTGAGCCTCGTGCTGGTGGTGCATGACTTTAATCCCAGCACCCAGAAGGCAGAGGCAGGTGGATCTCTGAGTTCAAGGCCAGCCTGGTCTACAGAGCAAGTTCCAAGACAGCCAGAGCTGTAACACAGAGAAACCGTGTCTTGAAAAATCAAACAGCAATAACAAAAAAGTCATGATGATAGATGTGAGTTTCTTAGAATTATGATTTTCTACTGAATTTACAATTTTTTAAATCACTAACATCAAATTCTGCCCATGGTTTTTCTTGACAAAATATGTTCACTCTGTTCATACCTTTCAAACTGTCTACAAGACACCCATGTCTAAGCTGCAGTGTGCATGCCATCGTTCTGTCAGCTTGGCCTGCGTGGACGCATACTCAGTGGCAAAGCCTTCGCCTGGCATGTCTGAGGTCCTGGGTTCCTTCCCAGCACCACAAAGGTGGAGTGTGTTGAAGGCAACTCACAGCAAGCCCCATAATTGCCTTTCTCTCAAGACAACGATTGTCACATTAGACTGCGCTGTGTCTCTCAGGTCCCACTTGGTGTAAGGATCTACTTTGTATTGCTGTGGTGAGGATGCTCTTAGAGACGGGGGTCTCCCTCCTCCTGTGGGTGTGTGCTGATGGGTAGTGATGGCTGTTGTTTCCATGGTGGCATTCTGAGACGAGAGAGGTCTCTTCACTGTGCTCCAGAATCAGCACCGTGGAGAAGGCCATTCTCATTTTAGAACTTGGACACAGTGCTGCCTCAAGGGTCTTGGACCTCCCTGCAGATCCATGGCGTTCTCGCTCCTTTTGAGAGAACTGCTAATGTGTCACAGAGGAAGAGCTGATGGTGTCTAATGCCTCGTCCATTAGGAAGCAAAGAGCTAGGTACAGGGCAGCCCATGACAATGGCGCTTCTTAGAATCCCTGCGTTAATGGCTCAGGAAGCCTCGTCCATTTGGTTGTCAGACTGACAACAGGTTACAAATGCTGAAACGTAGACTTTTATAACTCATCTAATTTTACTGCAAAAAACAAACAAAAACAAAAACAAAAAACAAATGCTTTCAGGGGGCTGTAGAAGAAAGCTCCACACAAACACTAGGGTTTGAGTTTGAACCCCCAGCCCCATGTAAAAAGCACGCGGGATAGAGAGATAGATGGCCGAGCAGATGAAGTGTTTGCCACATCATCATGAAGACTGGAGTTCAGATCCTCAGAGCTTATCTAAAAGTTGGGCAGGCATGGTGGCCTCCAGAGGCAGAGATGGGAACCCTGGGGTAAGCTGGCTGTCTAGATGAGCCAGATTCTGTGAGGTCAGGGCTTAGTGGGAGATCTTGCCACAGTAAAGAGAAGAGCGATGGGAGAGGCCACCTGATATCAGCCTCAGGTCTCCACACACATATGTGTCCACACACATGCAAGCAGGCACACATACACATATCATACATACGTACACACGCAAATGAGAGAGAATGCCAGGTACAGCAATGTGTGCTTTCTAACCCCAGCACTGGGAAGGTGGAGGCGGGAGGAAGGGTCCAGGGTCCTTCACTGGTCAGGCAACCTGGAGAATCAGCTAGAGACCCTGTGTCAAAAGTAACATGGGGAGCAATGAGGAAGACAACCAGTTTGACCTGGCAGGTCAAACAAAAGGTCCACGTTTGCTCCCCACACATAAAGAGAAGCAACGTTTGCGGCCGTTTCTAAGGTGTCTAAGGAGCCTGCTAAGGAACTGGAAAGTGACGTCTGCAGCTTTGTCTTCTGTCTTTAAGGTAAATCTCACCTGGCCATTGTGCAGCGAGTGAACAATGAGGGAGAAGGGGACCCGTTTTATGAGGTGCTGGGGATCGTCACCCTGGAGGACGTGATTGAAGAAATCATCAAATCTGAAATCCTAGACGAGACAGACCTGTACAGTAAGTAACTCTGTGTGTGTGTGTGTGTGTGTGTGTGTGTGTGTGTGTTCATGTTCCCAGACCTTTGCTGCTGCCGGCTGCTGTTTACACACTCCCCAGTGTTGAGCCCTCTGTTTTAATTATACGGCGTGTGTGCCAGGTCGTGCTGCCTCTTAGCGTCGCCTAGTGCTTTTACCAGAGTGGAAGAAGAGGCAGATTCAGTGGCATTGAGTGGAGCTTCTTTTCCGGAGGCAACTTCTCCTGGCCGTGAGTCCACACCCAAGACAGAAACTCTGCTCTCGGCCTTCAGACACTTGTACATCCTTCTATGCGGGTTTATGTTACACAGCTAGGCAAAGTGCTTTCAAATGAATTTGTTTCTCCTTAAGTTTGTGATTCATATATTTAACAAGAGAATTTGTTTAGTTAAATTGATAGGTGGCAGCTGATTATATTTCCTTGTTCCAGCATTTATGGGTCGGGAGCAGGTGAGCTGAGCAAGGGCAGCTGGCTGGGCAGTAACGCCGGGAGGGGCAGGCAGCAATGTGTGCAGTGAGAATACGGTGTGGAGATGGCGCCAGTGGTGGGATGAGGGCCGTGCAAACGTGAGCACCCACAGAAGAGCTGGGGGTGGTTGAGTGCCAATGATTCAGTGCTGGGAGCCAGAGACTCGAAAATAGTGTTATGGGGGAGGGTGAAGTCAGTGTGTGAGCTATAGGGTCCGTAAGATACCCCTTTTCCAAGATAGTAAATAAGACAGGCAGCATTCAAGTGTTGACCTCTGCCCTCCACAGATGCATGCACAGGTAACCCCCCATACACACGGAGAATATAGATTTCTTGTTGGCTGCTTCATAGTCTTCTTTTGAAGGGCAGGTGGGAATGCTGAGTATTTAGATCAGGCAGGGGCAGACCCAGGTGTGAATTTGCCCCAAGTATTGGACCTGCAGCTTGTCTCATTGGTGTATACAACGCGCTCCCTGCATCAGGAAACTTCAGGCTCCGCCCTCAGCCCCACTTTTATCATATGAGGCTTTTCTTTTTTAAAATTTGTTTATTTTGTATATGGGCATTTCACCTGCACACGTGTATCACAGGCACGCAATATCCAAGAATGCCAGAAGAGGGCATCAGACCCTCTGGGACTGGAGCTACAGATGGTTGTGAGCTGCCATGTTGGTGCTGAGAATTGAACCTGGGTCCTCTGGAAGAGCAGCCAGTGCTCTTAACCACTGAGGCATCTCTTCAGCCCCATATGAGGCTCTTTGAAAAGTTAAGAATGCCAAGGAGGGCCCAAAGCTCCTGGGAACTGGGTAGGCATGGAGTACCTGGACCCTGAGGATCCTCTCAGCTTGGAAACAGAGCCCATACCATAGGACTTGGGCTATCCTGGTGCCCTGCAGCATCCAGGAAAAACTTGCCTTGCTCAAAAAGAGAGTGGGTTTCTTTTATTGTTTTTGTTGAGCTATACATTTTTTCTCCGCTCCCCTCTCTTCCTCCCCTCTCCCCTTCTACCCTCTCCCATGATCCTCACGCTCCCAATTTACTCAGGAGATCCTGTCTTTTTCTACTTCCCATGTTGATTAGATCTATGTAAGTCTCTCTTAGGGTCCTCATTGTTGTCTAGGTTCTCTGGGATTGTGAATTGTAGGCTGGTTTTCTTTGCTTTATGCCTAAAAGCCACTTATGAGTGAGAACATGTGAAATTTGTCTTTCTGGGTGTGGGTTACTTCACTCAATATAATGTTTTTTAGATCCATCCATTTGCCAGCAATTTTCAAGATGTCATTATTTTTTATCGCTGTATAGTGATTTTGTCTAGTCTTTTTACAAGGGAACATTGCACATTTTCAAATCGCCAAGGTTTTGTAACACCTAATGAAAGGAAGACTTTTAAATTGCTAAGAATTGTCTCTGAAAAATGTGTCCTGTCTCCTTCACATCTGTATAGCATTTTTGCCTATGTTTTCACATTGGAAGATAGTCAGAGGCTTCATAGTAGAGAATGCTGCTGTTTGTCTGTGTTCTTTTCATCCTTTACGATCCTGTACAGTGTAAGTGAGCCCACAAGTACAGCAGTGCATGTATCAAGTTTGCAGAGTGCAGGCATGGGGTGCCTTTTCTATCCCTGCCTTACGAGGGTTCTGAGCTCCAACTTAGTTTCCTCAACTTTGGGACTTTACCCACTGAGTTATGTCACTGGCCCCTCTTCATTCAGATCCAATGTGTATCTGGATATTCTGTTTTCCCTGGGGTAGCACTTACCACTGGGAAGACAATATAAATGGTTGTGAAATCTTAGATACTTTTTTATGGAAATGTTACTAAATGTTACTAAACCCCCAGCGAGGGAACTCATTCCATGGAGGAGGATTGCATGACCTGTTGGTAGGAAATGCCGAGCCTTTAGGGTTATCTCAGTCTAGGTGACAGGTCAGTCCTGACAGCAGCATGCTGCCAGCAGAGACCATTTTTAAGCTTCATATAGATTTACACTTTCCGATTTTCAAAATACCTTGAGGTAGAAGTGTAGAAGACTCACAGAAGGCCTAGCCGTTGACATTTACTTGGACAAGAGGCGGTAATTCAGAGCCTTGGGGGCAGAGATAGCAGTTGGGGCCTTGTCCTTCATTTCTCTTTCTTTCTTTCTTTCTTTCTTTCTTTCTTTCTTTCTTTCTTTCTTTC